AAACACCCAGTGAGGTGCCAGCCACACTTTGAAAACCACAGTCATACTTATTATAGGCAAGTCCCCTCCTGCACCCACATGCTGCAGTCTGAGTATTAACATGTCCAGGCACTTGAGGAGGCCTTCCAGGGCTTAACAGGGCTGTGGCTCAGCTACAGTGATTTCAGGTGGGTGTTTGGAACCAGAACACATCTTAAGTGAGTAGAGGCTAAGGGAGCAGGGACTGATCAGCCTGGAGAACAGGAAGCTCATGGGGAATTTCATCAGTGTCTGTAAATACCTGAAGGGGAGGTGTAAAGAAAGCAGCAGTAGATTGCTTTCATTGGTGCCGTGTATCAGGACAAAAAGCCATGGGGAAAATCCGGGATACAGGAGGCTGTGTCAGAACATCAGGAAGCACACTTCTGTGCTCTGAGGGTGGTGGAGCACCAGCACAGGTTGCCCAGAGAGGGTTTGGGGTCTTCCTCCTTGGAGATCTTCAAAAGTTACATGGACATGGGCCTCAGCACTCTGCTCTGGGTGCCCCACTTAAGCAGGGTTTGGACCTGATGGCCTCCAAAAATCCCTTCCAACCTCAACTCTGTGGCTGTGCCCCCATGCTGAGTTCTGTGCAAAGGTGCCCAGAAGGCTTTTAGACTCCCAGAAAATAACAAGTCTGATTAAAATATCTATGGTGATGATTACCTTCTTGCTATTATTTCATACTCGGCATTTCATTATTGTTGCAACAGATGCATTGCTATCAAGAAAGCTGGCCCGCTCCATTTAGTATTTTGTCAAAGGCCAACCTTGAATGTCACTCTACAGGAGGGGCAACTCAAAATCAAATGCAAGTGAATATCCAGTGAGGAGACAACAATGCTTTGAAAGCTATGACCCCACTTCACAAGGTTACTTCTGATTCACCTGCATTCACGCACTACAAATCACAAAATGACATGGCAGGTTGTTCCAGGAGAGCTGCCAGGTTTTCCAGGAAGCACAAACACCATGACTCAGCTGAAGGATTGAAATAATTGGATCTCATTGTTCAACCATACTGAGTGCAGCCAAAAAAAAAAAAAAAAGAAAAAAAGAAAAAGTTGAAGGCCTTTCAATTCTCATAAAGGTAGGCTTTAAAATGCTGCAGGTGATGACAGTTATCTTTGTCTGTACAAATAAAGCAGTCAAGTTAAACAGAACAGAAAAGCCTAAGCAGAAAAGCCTAGACATGTAACCATATCCTTCCAGCAGATCTTCCCAGTCAGACCCAAGCTGTGAGCTCCTGAGCTCTCCCTGCCTCTCCCTGCTCCCTGCTCCACCCTTGCCCCCAGAAATTTCACTTCAACCTCTTGAAGGCCTACCCACTGCTGGCCACACCTTGCTTTCTCTCCAGAGGCAATGACCCTGCATGCCCTGCATCCAGGTAGACCCTGGGTGACCCAGACACTTCCCAGTTGGCATTCCGTTCTCAAGGAAAGTCCCCAATATGCACAGAGAACAGTTCATCTGCTATTACATCAGGGGGCACAGCTGGGGAGCAGAAGAAGGAAATGTGACACCCATGTCTGTAACTGCTCCTCCCCAGGCTCCTTGTACCAACAAGGCTGCTCTTGGCCAGGACGCAACTAGTCCAAATGTTAAACAAGCAGGAGGTAGCGTGAGAATTACTCCTGTACTCATATCTTACTGTATCCAGACTTATCTTAAGAAGAAAGTGCACACATAGTTGTCACATTAAGGATATGAGTCTAATACATGGCTAATTAGGGCAGCTCTCCTGCTGAGTTGGAAAGCTCAGAAAGGACCCTCTTGCTTTATAAACTCCTTCTCAGAGAGCAGCTTAGATGGGCTAGGCCCAGTCTTAGTCCCATATTTGGTCAGAGGTTTTTTTGTCTAAGGATAATGTGTATAACCACTTATCTTTACTGAAACAACATAAGGCTGTGAGGCCTCCACCTCATCCCAGGTGTCACTCAGTCACTGTAGCTGCCGGGCCTTATCTGAGTGTTAAACTGCACACCTCCACATCTGTCAAGTGCTTTGGCAAGATAAGCAAGTTACTCAACTGTCACCTTGGCTCAGGACCAGTGCAAGATAAGCATGTTAGTTAAATTACATTCTTGTTCACACCAAATTCAGTTCTCTAACCTCAATCTCTCAATCTCTAGATTTCAACCTTTTGGCTTTTACAATTACGGGTTGATCTGACCAGTAAATATTGAAGTTTGCATATTATATATTGATCTGTATGGAGTCATCCAGTAATCCAGCAGTCAGTTGTTTGCATATCATACCAGTTACCATGCTAAAATTTTGGTTTCTAAATTTCTATCAATATTGATAACACAATAACTTCAACCATAAGTATCAGCAGTCCTTGAGGATGCTCTAGTTCAGTGTAGATAAACTATCATCCCACGTACAGGTTCTTGGCATTGATTTTCCTATAAAGTACAGAGAGAAAATGCTCATTCATAATATGACTGACAGATTTTAAGTTAAAATTTGTCTCCTGTAGCCACTTCCAATGTCACAGTTTAATAATTCCAGTTATTATTTTGCCTGTAAGATGTTACATTGGTGAACCGTATCCCCATTAATCATTGCTTTACCTCAGAGTAGGGGCATCCTGAATAAGAAGCAATCTGTTTGGCAGCATCTGAAATAGCAAAGTGCTATTACCTATATCTTTCTGCAATTTAGATACTCTACCTTCTGTAATAAGAATTATTTCATTGATGTCTTCCAAATGGACATATCATTTACAATCTGTAGATTTCTGGGCAGTGCTTGTTGGCAGTGTTGTAGCCTTGCAAAGAGTATCTGGGAGATGGATCCACAAACGATTACACAGTCCTGATCTTACCTGTTCCACGTATTTCACGACTTACACCAGGGTGAGCAAGACACAGCTCCTGTTGTTGAGTATTGCCTGGAGTCTTCTGACTCCCTTTTGATCCATCTCCATAGAATTGGTGTAAGAGGCTGTTTTCTCCAGAGGCAACAAAGTGTTAGCAGTCCCAAAATATGTTGACATCAACAGTCCTACCACTGGTAAGTCCACTGTCTATGTTCCATCACTGATAACCCACACAGTGTGTCACAGGGTATGCTGAGTTCTGAACATATTATATCAGATGAGATATCATTGCTAGCCAGATGAGACCAAGTGTCATAGACTGAGGTGGTAAGTTGGGAGAGGTCAATACCAATCAAGGAGTCTATAGCAAGATAAGCGAAGTGTATAGCAAGGTAAGCAAAGGCACAAGATGCCTAAGGTAAGGCACTGACATGATATCATGTTTATAGTACTTTCCATAGATACCTTTTTTTGTTTTGTTTTGTTTTGTTTTTTTTTTGGTAAGAATCACCAATAAAACATTACCAAAGGTAAATATACAGGGCAGTAAGATCAGCGTTCTGAACTAGCAAGGTGGGTTAATTTGACAAAATGTAAGGAGAGAGGCTGTAGCCTCATCTAGAGTAGGATGGGGTTATGGTGAGGAAGTGAACTTATTGCCACAATTATCCAATTCTCTACAGCAGCTTCTTGTGCTGTTGTCCAGAGAAAGATCACCACTCACACCTGCCTGAGGTCACAGAGCAAGGAAGGGGCCAGGCAAATGGATGCTGCCTTTATAATTGCCCCAGGAGATGATTCCTTTTTCAACCAAAATGCATGTCTGGTGTCTGAATTTATGTCTGTTTTTGTCCTTGCCTGAACACAGATTATTTAGAAAAAGTTGAAAGAGCTTATCCTGTTGTGTAGGACTCTGTGATTGTGCCAACACATGTTGAATAGAAACATATGGGAAAGTGAAAGGAACATGTGGGAAAGCATTCAATCCATAATACAGAATTATGGTGGGAAGCATTTAAAAGACACAGCAAAAAGGCATGCAATTTTATAGGTGATTAGAAAATCAATTCTGAGAAATGAGATAAAGTTATGGTTCAATTAGGTGCTGAAAGCCTCTAGAGTACAAGAGGCAGGGGCCTCCTATATGCCTAAGGAGATAAAACCCACTACAAACTTGGAGCCATGCTTTGATGATTAACATGAAGTCTCTTAACCCATATTAACATCCACAAATAAATGACATCACTTTTGGAAGTGGTCAGCATACATAGCAGCTGTTGAAATGCATTCAGATACCATAGTGACAAGCACAGTACAGGAAACAAAACTAGCTGGAGCCATGAAAGTGAGAACCGAGGTGAACCCTTGATATTTCTCCCTTGGCAACACTCCCTTTGAATTTTATGGGTTTCACCTCAGCCCCTTATGTAAAGTAGCCCTTTGCTGGATCTGTCTGACAGCTGCATAGCCTGGCCCTCCAAGACCCCTGCCTCTCGTACTGAGGTACAGTGGCTGCATGAGGCTCCCTGCAGCCTTCACACGTCAGAACTCCAAGCGCTGACCCCGCATCAGGTGAGTTGATCAGACTGAAGCACTCCTGCAGGCAAGCTGCGATTACAGCCCCATTTTTCCAGCCCCTGGCATCCTGCTGATGCTAGCCAACAGTTCAGCTGAATGCAGGGAACCAATGGCCTTGAACACCCCCAGTGGTCCCATAGGGAGTGATTTAGGAACAGATACTTCTGCAAAGAGAGAGGATGCGTAAGCTGGGTAAAAAGAGGCTCATGCTCCCTTGTAATGAATTCTTCTGAGCAGTGGTGAATCTGATCTTTTCTAGGAATAAAAGATGGAAGTTTCAGGCTGTTTGTTTCTGCTTGTAACTGAGGATATCTGCACAGGACACCTCCTGCAGCAGTTCTCCCAACATTCTGAAGGCTCACAGCACTTCAGGAGAAGGCATGTGAAGCACTGAGTTCACCACTGATTAAGGCATTTCCACTTCAACAAAAAAATAAATGAATAGAAAAATCCTTGGCAGCCAACCAAAACCTCAACATCATGGGCCCCATGCCTTACGAAAGCCTGGAGGAGGCGGAGAGAAAGGCAGGGGCTGGCTGTACCAGGTTTTTTTAAGTGCCTGGGAGTGGCAATGGGCATGCAGAACCAGGAGGCGACCAAGGGAAACAAGTGGGGACAGGATGGCAGTGCCTTGCATGGAGCTGAACAATAAGATGAAGATGCCCATCCTGGGGCTGGGCACCTGGCAGGTAGTGGTGCTGTGGTTCTTGTGGATGCTGCAGGGAGGAGAAGGTAGGGGAGTTGGGGGGGAGGGGAGGGGGCAGAGTAGGGTTGGAGTGACAAAATATAAAAAAACAGGTTTTGGAGGGCTGCCTCACTGGCGTAACTGGACAGATGGACTGTCAGGCAGCAGGCATGGGGCAAAAGGGGGGAAAGTGAAGAAAGATGGCAAAAAAAGTAAAATGAGAGTAAGAGGAGAAAGTCCAAATAAAAGGCAGAAGCTGGGAGGGGAAAAAATCTGGACTGCAAAAGGCTTCCTGTCCCAGTGCTGGCTGCTGTGTATGGGGCTGCAAGTGACAAAATTCCTTGAGTCACACTGGAGGGAAATGATACTGTGTTAGCCTACTAGAAAGGGCAGGGTCAAAATCGTAGAACCAGAGACTCCTAGGGGCTGGAAGGGACCTCTGCAGATCACGTTCAATCCATCTGCTAATGTCTGGCAGAAATTAACTTCTTTCTGTTCCACTCCCAGTGCTGCAGTCCTTTCCCTACAAAGAGGATAAGTTAAAATTCAGTTTAAATGCTGGTGACAGGGAGCAGCAGATGTACAGGGAGACTTCGGGGGGCTGTCACAGTGGGTGCTGGCCAGTGGCAAAGGGAGGGTTCATGGTATGATTGTGCTTGCTTTCAGGCTCCTCCAGGGAAGGTGGAAGAAGTGGTGAAACACGCTATCGATGCTGGCTACCGCCACATCGACTGTGCCTATTTCTACCAGAATGAGCATGAAATAGGGAATGCAATCAAGCACAAGATCAAGGAGGGGGCTGTGAAGCGGGAAGACCTCTTCATTGTCACTAAGGTATAACGATGCAGGAATGTTGCTGCATTTAAGTTTTCTCGCCGATAAACCTTTCTTTCATCTATAAAGTAACCTAAGGGCTTGTTCCCTTCTGCAGTGTTTATTTCATGCCTGTGGGCTATGAATTCAATTCTTTATTTCAATTTTGACTGAACTTTATTAGAAACTGGTGAAAACTTTGGAAAAATAGGATGGCTGTTGCCATCATCATAACAATTTCATTGCATCTACTGAGGGTTCATGTGTATGCTCTCTAGAAAGATCAGGAAAACAAGACAAATCAGATGTTTGAATTCACAGACACTGTACTACCTATTGGTGTGCAAGACATCTGAGAATTATATCGTGCAGAAAATGTAGGTCTGAGAGTGAACAGAAGTATATAGTATATAGTTATACTATGGAACTTAAACCTGAAGCAGTTTGTGTTTGTACTGTTATTCTTTATCTCATTCACTTGTCTCAGCAATGTTTACTACCACAAAATGAGAACACATCAACTAAAAAACTTCTGACTTCTGGGTTTTCTAGCAAAAAGCCGTAAAACACTGAGCATAGATAAGCTGTTCCACACACTCTTCATTTTTGTTAAAGAATAATTTTTAATTTGAATAATACTTGTAAGTTCTACTTAAACAACTTGAATTTTCATTTCAAAAGTAATCAAAAGTAAGGAAAAATCCTCACAGTGGCCAGATCAAAGGGACAGAAGGAGGGTAGCTATACGATGCTCATGAAATTTGGTTTGTAAAAAAATGAGTGTATATAAATAATCTGTAGCAGTAGAAATTTTGCTGTATCAGATACACTTTTTCATTTGGTTCTGAGAATCTCTTGATTGTCCATCTGATTGTCCATTTTCACTACTAACTTCTTTACTTGTGTTGTATTTGTCGTATCCTACCATTAAAATATTAGCATCCTTGTCTTCAGTGAGCACTCAGTGGGTGGGAAGGCTGTTGTCTTCCCTAACCAGCAAGGGAGAGGTTCTTGTCCTCTGATCTGGATGGTGAAAGTTGTAGAGTCACAGTTGAGCTTGATTTCTCCCCACAGTTGTGGAACACATTTCATGAGAAGTCCTTGGTAAGGGAAGGGTGCAAAAGGAGCCTTACTGCGCTGCAACTGGACTACATCGACCTGTACCTAATGCACTACCCTATGGGATTCAAGGTAGTCTTGCTCTACATTCCTCTTTTCTCCTTACCTGGGTGGAAATAGTTCATTCTCTCTATAATGCTGTGGCTTACTTCATTATACAGCTAGGATGTGCTACAGTTCATTTTGCTCCTCCCTAAGTCTGACAGAAGTATGATTTCAGTTAGTAACTAAGCAGTGATATGTTTGAAAGTGTGGGTCTGGCTGTCCATTTCTGTTAGAGTGAGATAATTGTGGTTGGAAGCCCTGCTAATAACCTCTCTAAGTCTTCAGGGAAATTGTAACCAGTCCATGAGGGTGCAGTTCAGGATCATGAACTTCTACTGGGCCAGATCTGTGTGAAATCTCAGCTAGAGGTGTTGGCTTGAATTGGAGTAACCAACCATGAAAAAACACACATAACGCAGAAAGAACGTGTTTCTTTTTCACCCAGTCTGCACCAGTGTAAAATAAATAGAAACTCTAGAATAAAGGTAGAGGTGGGGCTGTTCCCTTCACAACAGACCTGCTTAAGCCATTAAGATGTTTACTGCTAATTCCTGTCTCTTTGTAATGATGAATTTGTAGAAGCATGGCACTCATCCAAGAGAATACTGATGAATGTGAATCATTTTTAGTTACGTGATATGTTTAAATAAACTGCTAACTTCTGATCTGTAATTCCAGTCACAAATCTAGCATATGGTCGAAAATTCAACTCAAGTATCTGTGACTTCTGCCTTGAAATTATAGGCTGGTGAAGAACTGTTGCCTGAAGATGACAAGGGTATGATTATTCCTAGTGACACAGATTTTCTGGACACATGGGAGGTAAGTTAATGTTTGGTCTTCTGTGTGGGTGTCTAAATTAAATGCAGCAGAGATGTGCATGCATAATGAAAGTAAGGAATAGGTTTGGGCACAGAGGGTAGTCACACAGTATTATATTTTATAACCAGAACTGCTACTTCCTCTTCTTGTTTTGAGTAGCCAGAAGGAGATGTCTTTCCTATAAATAAAGAGGACAAACCTAACAGCACTATGGATGCTATCACTGAAATAATATTTAAATATGCACAACAGTGGAGCTGAGGTATAGATTAATACAGGTGTGGCTGTTAATTTACTGTGAGTTTCATACAGATAAGAATTCTTGCACTTTGCAGCAAAGGGCATCAGCATCCTTCAATTCTACTTTCCTTGTGGACTGAGAGGATTCAGGATCTGCTCCTGCTACCTCTAACAGTGATGCTGTGGCTCTGGGAATTCAGTTTTTCTCTGCAACAGTAGAGTACAATTTCAAGAAAGTATGTTGTAACCAGCTTACAGCTAACATAGATTCTCAGAGTAGACTCTCGGAGCCTAAGCAAAATATATGTACCCTGTTAAAAGGTTGACCAACTCATTCTTATGCTACTCTCCCGTCAGCAATATGATATAAAGTACTCAGATAACACAAGACACAAAGACTTTCAATTTTTAAATTGAATGTACCATTTTTAAATCTATTATGAGTTGCTTGCTGGTTTCTCAGTAGCTTTAGTGAAATACAGTATCATGGTTGACAGTTAATACCACCTCACAAGTAAACAATTGTTGTCCTCCTCTTTAGGCCATGGAAGAGCTGGTGGACTGCGGCAAGGTAAAAGCCATTGGAATCTCAAACTTTAACCATGAACAGATTGAGAGAATCTTAAACAAGCCAGGATTGAAATACAAACCTGTAGTTAACCAGGTAAGACTTTGATTTTTATTCCTAAATATATTCAAGCTACATTTCAGCACTTAAGCCTGTTTTCTGCCATGACTTTTTAATGGTTTGGTGCCATGGAAAGATGTCACAAAGCAGTGAGGTACCTTTCATTGTCTAGAAGATCCTCCAGGTCAGTGCTGCCTGAAATACACAGAGCTTCACTACAAGTGAATTTTACACCAGTGCTAATGGTTTTTACCTCACAGAAGTCTTGAAAGAAAGGATTTTTGTTTTTTGGTAGACTTGCATGTGTGTAATGCTGTGGACATTTGAGAATAATACCATCTAAAACATGAACAGTTTGGCTTATTCATACCACAGTAATAGGAAACAGATGAGACTATTTCGTTCTTAAACATCAAAAAACAGTGAAAATATCTCTGGCCTTGTGTAAGTCCTTGCAATTTTCTGCTGTGTGTCCCCTTTCACACTCCCAAGTACCACTCACATCACAGCGCAAGTTGTCACAGGCCCACTTGTGCCAGCTCAGGGATAACCAGCCAGATCTCCAGTGCAAGCTACTGCACAAGTGTGGCAATGTACAGGAATGCCTTAGCACATTCACTGAATTTATTTATTTTTCAAAATAAAAGAAAACACCAGAATTAATTATAAGAAGCAGGCTTGAAGCAAACATTCATATCATGTTCACAGATTCAACAAACTCCTTTTTTATGTGGAAAAATATTCAAGCAGTACTGTGCAAATACGTTGTTTTTAAAGCACTGGCTTCACACTGAGGAAAATAGAAAAGCTTATGCACCTGTAAAATATTATTAAACTTTATATAATGCTTCTGTAAGAAGGGATAAGCAAGAACATCCTGGCTTTGTGATTGAGTAGGAATTTCAGGAGCCAAGGAACATACTGCAGCAACATTCTGAAGGTCAGAGAACCCACAGCAAAGCAGCAATGTGTGCTTGTTTGTGTATTCTGCACATCATCTAGAAAATATCCAGAAAGGCTACGCTAAGGAAGCTCATGCCCCCAGGCTTCTTTGGGAATCAGGCAGACTCCCTGAGGAGAGAGTGGATGGCTCAGAGCAGGCTCAGGTGGCTCAGGATGGCTCAGGTGTTCTGAGCTGTCCCTCTGGAGATGCAGCACTGTTCTCCTGATTAGTTCAAGAAGACTGATTTGCCTAATTTTTTTACACATTGCTGTGATGTGAATGACTTTTTTAAAAGATCATTTTAATAGTAAACCTGGGAGTGTTTTCACATTATCTGTGACTCAAGAGGAGTTAAAATGTTACTCCGTGCCAACCACCATGTTGCTGTGCTTGCAGATCGAGTGCCATCCATACCTGACCCAGGAGAAGCTGATCAAGTACTGTCACTCTAAAGGAATTGCTGTGACTGCATACAGCCCCCTGGGCTCTCCTAATCGGCCATGGTAAGAAAGCATGGCAGCCTCTCCACACAAAAGGCTGCCACTTGTAATTAGAATTTTTGCAGCAAAATATGTAAATGATGCAGCTACAATGAGAAAACTGCTGTTGCTTTGTTGCAAATCCTTTCTTCCTGCAGAGATGCTAATACATCTCCATCTTCAGTATCCTGTCTTGTGTTTTTAATAGGGCCAAACCAGGGGAACCTATGCTGCTGGAGGATCCTAAGATTAAAGAGATTGCAGCAAGATATCATAAAACCCCTGCCCAGGTAAGAGGTGTTGACAGAGCAAACTGCTCATCTTCACAAAGAATCTTTGAAACTTGCTCATTTATGCAAGGTGATTTTTTTTTTTTTTCTTCTTTGCTTGTCCCACTAAAGAGATCTTGCCAATGGTGAACAGGAACTGCGCTTCAAACAAATCCATTATGTTCACAGGCAATCAACCATAGTCATATTTTAAGAAAGGCAGAGCAGGAAAAAAATGTATCCAACAGGCTACCAATGAGAGGGGAAAGTTTTAAATATATATATATGTATATATGTATATAATTTAAAGATTTGAAAAATCTTTGTGTAGGTGAGGTACTTATTTCTGAGCCAAAACAGTCTGCAGTATTGTGCTTATCTGGCCTGAGCACCCATGTAACACAAACCAGAAACAACATTGTTTTTTCTCTCCTCCACAACCCTAAAAGAAAGAAAAAATCTTGAGGAGCAAAGATGTAGAAACAGCGTAAGCCAGAAACAACTGATAATTTTCTCATTAGACCATAAATAAATGCTGGATCATCATAATTGGCCTGTGCAAAATTGCAGTCTTCCAAAAAGCAAACACGGGTGTAGAAAGAAGAATCTGTGAATAAAGGGGGGAAAGAAGTAGAGGGGGGGGGGACGGGGGAATAGGGAAAAAATACACAAAATGCATTAGAATTGCTTCCTTGGCAGCTCTGTATTCATAATACTTGTTCTTTTCTAGGTTCTGATCCGGTTCATTATCCAAAGGAACTTGGCTGTCATTCCCAAGTCTGACAAACAGCAGCGCATTAAGGAGAACATGCAGGTGAGGCTTCTGTTGGGATTACTACAACCACAGCCATAGCTCCTGAGTGTTTCTAGCACTTGGTCGGAGAGGCATTGGAAGGGGAGCACAGAAATGTAGAGATCAGGTCCTAGCACAACCTTACCAGGCAGAATTCTTTTTCTTGTTCCTGTCAAAAGAGAAATGGGTTAGAACAGGAAGGCTGGAGATCTTCAGTACTGGAAGTGGAATCCCAGTTTGGGTCTTACTTTCAGAGATCCTTATTAAACCCATTTTTCTGGGGCAAAAGGGAGGAACTGTAAACATTAGACCCAGTAATCATTTTGAGGCTGTGGTTCCTGTTGGTGGTGAGAATCAGCTGGATCTCAGATTGTATCTCTGTTACTTTCAGTTCATGCTGCAAAATTTGGACTCATTTCTTCTGCTAACCATGAGCAAAAATCCTTAGATGACATTTACTGTGAGATAATGATCTGCAGTTGGTACCCAGGAGTCCTTTGTAATAGCAGAAATATTTACTGCTCCAGTATTTGATGCATGGAGTAATCTACACTTAGCACCTAAATTCTCTGATGATGTATTACAGTGCAAATGGAAGTGGTGTTTGCATTCAATCACCTAGAACTATGAGACGTTGCTTCGAACAGCACTTCAGAGAAAAAGGACTAATTAGTAAACTGTTGTTTGGCTGCGAAATAAGATGATTTTTCAACTACTTCTAGTGTGCGTGCAGTATATTCCCAACTGAAGCTATAACAAATGAAAGAAGCACACAGTATCCAACTACTTATGAACCTAAATAAAAAGAGCATTTTCTTGTTTATTTTTTTTCCACGAGGTGTTTGACTTCGAGCTGTCTAAAAAGGAGATGGATGTCATCCTCACCTTTAACAGAAACTGGAGAGCGATTACAGTGCTGCAGTATGTTCCTTATTATCTTTATTATCCATCAGGCCTGTCTGTCTCTGTGTTTTCATACCCTGTATCTTGAAAGCATACATGACCAAAATGAGAAGTCTCTCATGTAAAACTCTAGAGGTCAGGTAACAAGACATATCCTGCAATGGACACCAGGAGGAAGAGTTTTCAGGGCCTTCCATTCAGTATCTTGTTGCATATGCTTGTTCTCAAGCCGTTATTACTACTAATGACAGCTACCAGCTGCAAGGCTTGCATATGTTAGCAGTGAAGAATGGAGACTACAGTAGGGAAATGCAGCTGAAGACACCTGGTTCAACACTTAAATAACCAAGTTCTTTCTCTTCTTAGGTCTGCGAATCACAAGGACTACCCATTCAGTGCAGAGTATTAACACCTGCAGTTTCAGCAACATCCACATCCTCCACCGCAAACCCTCTGGATTAGGGACTTCTAATAGCTTCTATATATATATAATACTTCTATAGCTGAGTCCTGATTTCTTCTTTTGTACTCAACAGCCATTGGGAGTGGTCACTTGTCCTTCTTTTTCAGGAGGACACCACTAGCTGGTGAAAGAACGCATCAATGGGAATGGGTCTTTTGTTGAGAGGTTTAGCAGAAATCTGGTTTTACTTCTTTTTTTTAACTCAACGTCTCATTTCTGTTTTTCCTTCTCCTGCTTAACTGAAAACATGTTTAGCAAATGAAGAAAACCCCCGTAAGTAACCAGAGTTTTTATGTTGTTTTCAGTGCGGTAAGCCTTACTGGCTCATGAGTGGTTGTTGAGGAATGCGGTGCTTATTTACTTTGCTTTTTATATAGTTGTGATTTTTACAGTATGAATAATTAATGCTTTAAAGTTTTATATGAATAAAGATTGAATAAAAGCAAACAAAAAAGAGAAGTCTGAATAACTTCATCAGTCTGACACTTAGATTTTTTTTCATGTAGTTAATTATAAAAACACGCCTGAAGTCTGGTTTTCAAATTTTAATACAGGAAGGAAAGGCTCCTATGGTTCCTGTCCCAGGAATTAATTTGGGACTTAGGTATCAAACAGGCTAGAGCTGTACCTAAAACGGACCCTCCTCTGAACAACCAGAAATCAACTTTTTGTACAATTTAAAGGTGTAAAAAGTGAAGACAGAAACATAGGCAGTGATAACTCACAAGAAAATAGACCCAGCAGATCACAGGTCCCGGAAATCTCAAACAAAATTAGATTTTTGCAGTTCTGCTGGTAACAGTCTATCCAAACAGGCTCTAGCTTTATCTAAGATAAATACAAAAAATATATATTTTATTTAAAAACACCAATGCAAGCATTGAAGTAGACTCAAAATCGCTTTAAATGTTTTCAGATAGATGATACTAGACCAAAGCAAAGGCTGAATTTAAAAGTCTGTTCTGTGGCATTCAGCACACTGACCACAGAAAGTCTGACTGGGATGCCAGGTGAGCAACAGTAAGGCATGAGTTAAGGTGCCAATTGGGTAGTGTCTCAAAAATCATCTCCTCACCATAGCATCAAAATACCAACACAACACGCAATGCCACGGACCCATCACAGGGATTTCTCTGCAGCAGATGCCATGGGGAGGTGGTTCTGGTTCAGGGGACAAGCCAGGAACCACTTGTACGACAATGTGTTCCTAAAAGCAAAAAATTTCCCAGCAACGAGGAAAAGCATTACTCCAGCCCAGGTTTGGAAGCACATCCCCCCTGAGCTGCCTCACCCAGGGAAGCAGGAGAAACACTGCAAACGCTACAGCTCACACAGAGAACATTTCACAACGCAGATGCCATGCCTGAGGTCAAGTACCTGCTTTTCTAGGCATGTTGACTTCTGGATGTTGTCTCACACTGGCAAATGTGATAATTAAGATAATTATTTTATTTTTCTCCCTTTAAGAATACATACAGTAAAGCTGATGATTTCAGGACATAGCTGTCTGGTGTAGGATGTGTACGAGGTATATATCAGGAAATGCATCCCTCGAGCTTCATGGCAATGACGCCTTGTTTCACACGGCCTTAGAGGGGATTCCTATCTCAGTGACAACTGTTGCAATTCCTACTCATTAACAAACAGGGGGCTGCTGATGGAAATATTCCATTTATTGTGAATGCGGTTTCAGAATACATTGTTTGAACAAATCATCTTTATTGCAGCTATCAAATGTATTTGAAAGACTCAGAAGAGTGTTTACAAAACCCCCAAACAAAAAACATGACAACTCATAGACAATGTCAGGCATAGTTTCACCCCCTACAGATAACTACACACATCTCTATGTAAACAAGATGTTTCAGCCAAGCAGGGAAGCTCATCTTTGGGTTCTTCTCTGTTACTAAGAAGTCAGATGCTGTAAGAGATGGAAGTGGTGAAAGGGAGATCCCGCTAGTTTCGATGCACAACAAAGCTGTTAACAACACACTAGGGGGCTACTTCAGCTGCTCAGTTTATGCCATCCATACACTGTAGGATGTCGATGCTAAACTGTATGGCATGTACATTCAAACCCAGCTGACATCATATAGCCACGTGTTTACTATATACAAATCAAAACGTCTGTAAAGAAGATATTTGGGAGAGAGAGTTAAAAAGAAGCACTACAAAGATAGAGGTTTACTTCATTTAGGTGGACCTGGTGTACAGCACTGATGAATGGCAAGATCTAGTGTGCAGTCATTTGAAACAAGCTCCAACTGTGCTTTATTTCATTTTTTAATTATGGTAGTTTTATATAAATTAAACTACAATGTTTTATACAAGTGACCTATTTTTGACCCTCTATACCCTTACCTTTTCCTCTTTTAAAAACTATAACTTTCTTTTTAATTACCCATTCCTGGGCAATTGACATTTAAATTTTTTAAAACTTATCTTGCCATACCTCTAATGGCAATTATGAAATCTTACTACAGGAAAGTGTGTGATTTTGTCTTTATCTTTTTAAAGCTGTGATATTGGCTAATTATGTATGTTTATTACTAAATATAATACTCTAGCATGTATTAAAGCATTCTACTGTTAGTAGTGCCTTTAGGCTAAACTTTGTGAAGCTATGTGTGTATATATTCTAAGTTGCAATCAATTACTAGTCACTAACAACAAAAAGAAATATCAGTACCGCTGTCAGCTAACATAATCATCCAAATTTATGCATTAACTTAAACTAGAATGGAAAAATTGATACTTTAAAAAAAAAGTACAAAACAAAAAATTAAACAAGCTATTGATGCAGTATTTCTCATGACATGGGCAACTTACAGAAAACATTACATTGTCAACTAAAGATATTTCTTCCATGCCTCAGTCTAAAGTGCAGAAGGAAAGACTTCTGTATTCCAAAAGTAACCATTGTTTTCATAGGTTTACTGCACACCTTTCTTGAGCAACTTCACTTTAAATGCATTTTGGGTTGACCTCTTATGCCAGCTGAAATCACTGTTCCGATCCATAGTTAGTTATGACTGTCAGTAGGAGAGTCTGTATATTTCACAGCATGGGTTTCTTTAGGAATAGAGGTTCTTGTGCAAAGGCAGTACTATTATGATGAATGTCTAGATTGACTATTAAATATAGTGCTAATATACATGGTTTTAAATGGGATAATGCAAAAAGACATTTTGGTAAATAAACATAAATATAAAAAGAACAATTTAGCACTTTTTCTTTCTTTTTTTTCCCCCGACTGATTGGTCCAGCATCTTTAGTAGCCTTCTACGGTTCTTTCTCAAACTGTCTCAAACCTGCTGAGAGAAAGAAAGATTAAAGATGGCCTGAAATAACCCGAACGTACCTCTGAACTAGAGAGGGCATGACTAGATTTACACACAGCATAGCATGGCAGAAGGCAGGACATGACTGGGATGTTGCTGTGCTTGGGTATTGGGCTCTTTCAGAGATGGTTTCCAAGAAGGCAAGCAGGTTTTCACTGGGATGCCTCCCTCATCTCCAGCAGTCCTGGGAAGCAGCCCAGGAGCTTCCCACCACAAAGATAGTGCATTCTGCACCCAGCACATTACCTTTCCCAAGCCATGCATGGGTAGCTACCATAAAAAGCTACAGTGCTGGGCACACACAGTCCAAGTCCACAGTAAAACAGAAATCCAACAGTTGAAAGCCTTCTGCTGCTGTTCCTCTGCTGAAGCCCTCATCTCAGCCTTAGAGAAGGGCTCAGCCTCGCTGCTTCTACTCAGCTGGATTGCTCCTGTGGGGTTTCAATGGCACAGCTATGGGAACAGAGCTGCACTAACACTGAGCAAGCTGAACACTACAATTTGAAAAAGAAGAGAAGGTGGAAGTCAATTCTATTTCTGTGAAGTTCCAAGCTGACAAAAAATCATCCATAAGCATAGCATAGCTCTTGCTTTACAGATGAAGGTGAAGAAGAATGTGTAAAAAAGAAACATAGCAAAAGTTTTCTACATTTGATCATTTCATTCCTAATGAAAAAAAAAAATAAAAAAAGTTAAGGGATATTGCAAGGTATCTTAATGCTGACCAGTAAATCTCCATTCTTCCCAAGTGGTCCTTAGGCACATATATTTCCTCTAATTGGTTTTCTTTGGAGTGTTTTAGATTAAAGCAAAAATTAAAAGAGTGCATACAAGCTAGGAGGAGAATTTCAGTGACTTCTTGACCTACAACTAAGTTGTTTCCTAGACTAGTAATTTCAGCATGACAGTAGTAAGGCTCTTTTTGTCTTGCAAAGACCAATGCACAGCTCCAGCAAAAGCAGTGACACTGCTGAGTGCATCTGAGCTCCATCCCCATCAGGATGTGCCAGAGCAGATGGGATTTGTGACCAGCAAGGTGAATTTTCAAACACTAACACTGCAGAGTTTTCAGCAAGCTTCATTATTGCCCAGTGGCAGTACTTAAAATCAGATACAGGGCTTGTTCTCAACAGTGCTGAGATCTTATTACTATTGCTATTACTATATTACTTATTACTATACTATTACTTTTGCTCAAATGATGCGGCCACAATAGCTTTGCTTTTTGGGTTCTCCCTTTCCACTTGTGAAAAGTATATCCATTCCCTCCGCAGCCTTTAAAAGAGCCTTTCCCAGATGCCTGGTATTTGCTGCAATTAGTTAAATGACCATCCCATTCATCAGACATCTCAGTTTAATGATGCTGTGCAGCTATAGCAACCTTGATGCGATGTCACTCGCACAATACTTGCAAACATAGCTGGAGAGTTTCTTGTCCTCAGGCCTCCCAGATGTTTCAAGCTTATTTCTCAAAATGGTAGCCGTATTTTGGAGATACTGCAATGAAGCTTTTTTTCCCCTTTTTTGGCAAAGGAAAAGAAAGGTGGTTTTTTTTTCATCAACGTTAACAGTTGTAGTGTTTTAAAAACCCGGAACTGTTGTGTCTGTACAAAAATGTGCCAACATTTTTTTCTTTTTAATAGGCAGATGAATTATTAGAATTACTTACCATTAGTCTCTGATTTTTTCCCCGTAGCTGTTACCTGTTTGAAAAAGTAATAACCCCTTATTAAAGTTGAATGTGGAAAAAAGTTATTTATAATAGGGGGTAAAATCATCCCAATTCTAAGGGCATAGTTCCAAGCACAACTCAGTTCTTCCAAATAGAAATATAAAAGCTATGTGCTATCTACAGCTTATGGTGCCTCACTGAACTGCACTTTTATAGATAAGAAGGTACATTAATAACACAAGACATGTAGAGGTCTAATTCCAACTGACTGACAGTATGGCTAACAGTGCCTCCCCCACCCCACAAAAAGCCTCACACAGAGACATCAACATTTTAACCATGTGCAAATGTGTTACCTTTGAAGAAGAAGCAGCTGGCTTTTCAACTGACTGCTTCTCCCAGAGATTACGTTTGCCGGATACATCTCCTGGTCTTAA